AAGCACCTATATCAACTCTCTCATTTTCCGCGTCATCGCTGCCTCCCGATAAGTCAATTTAAGAAAATTGATTTAAGCGAATTAATTCAAAGAAATTTATTTGATTAAATCAATCCAGGAAAATTAATTTCGTTAAATTATATAAAGAAATTCAATAAGAGTATATTATAATTCAAAAAAATTAATTAGAATAAATTAATTTAAATAAATTCAAAAAAGTTCTTCTGAGTAAATTAATTCAGAAAATTAATTTGAGTCAATTAATTAAATAAAAGATACGATTACTAGGTATGGAATGAAAATTTTATTGAAATGAAATTTATTCGATATATATATATATATATATATATATACTACTTATACAAGTGTGCGTGTCGTAATCTCGCCAGCAAAATCGCTCTCCCCGGCACCACTGTTTGAATCATGCTCAATCAGTTAAACGTACGCCAAATGCGACTCGCGCGTAGGTTCGGCACTTTTGCAGCACCCACGCGTAGAAGAAACGGGTTCTTTTACGAATGCTACGAGCCGTCCGGGCTCGGCCGTTCACTTTTGCGACACTGATACGACGCGTCCGTCCTAACGATCCTGTTATTGACTAACTGCGAAACGCTACCATTTTTTCCACGGCTGTTTGCTACATCGCACGTCCCGCGTTAATGGTCTTCAACACCTATCTACGTGCTCTTTTTCCCTTTTATCTTTTCTCTTATTTTAACTTTCCCATAGCCAAGTGAGTTCGTCCGTTGAACGTCACGAAATCACTTTCGAGGAAGTCGCGAGTCGAGACGAGTTGAGTCACTCCATCCCGAGAAACTACGTGTATCCCGGCAGATGAAAGCATCAGAACGACGTCTGTTCGGAGGCGTTTCAGTTGGCCATCATTTCGAAAACTGTAATTCTGCCCGATCTCACGCTCGCGCCAATTTTGTACAGGGCGTGAAACTCGTGAGATCATTTCACGCGACATCAAACGCATATTCTCGCCTTTGACGAGGAATAATAATGTGATTCCTCGGAATAAAATGTGGCGAACGTCAAATTGAAATGTTGCGCCATTCGGCCGGTGAGAAAATGATAATTAATTGGGGAGGTAAACAAATATCCGAGAGAGTGCGAAAGAGAACAAGAGAGAAATCGAGATGCGCGTGTGCACTGTCGGGAAACGCGAAAGTTACAGCTGCCGCGTTACGCCGCGTCATTAGTGTGCGCGGCACGTGTTGTTGACAATAAGTGCGCTTAATTATGTCTACGTTGCGTTTGCTTGTCAATCGATGTGTCATCGAGAAACCCGCGAGACACCGGTAAGAAGATTCATAAATTGCAAAACAGCCCAAATAACGTTGCTAGTAAGAGTCCGCTCGGATTAATACGAAATAATATAATTCAAAATAGGAGGATAAAATTGCTCGGCAATGTTATGTACGTACCGGATCATTTTTCCGGACTTTCTACATACGCACGATACCGATATATAGTACTGGTCAATTTTCTCCACGTCAAATACAATCCTTAAATCCGCAATTAATATTAATTTTAAATATACACCTTCACCTGAATACACATACACCTTCAAATGAATTCTTTGAAATTATATAAACTATTATTAGTGTTACGAAAAATACTGCCTCAGCCGGAGAACGAACTCTGATTTCCTTATTTACCAGATAGGGCACCGTATCAATTCAACTAGCGAGACTTCGACAGTATTTATGCAATGCAATCATATAAGTTCGCCATTTATTTTACGCAGGTGCACAAATTTATTAATATCTAATTTCTAGATTCAGAAATTAAAAAGATATTGCAAGTCGATTATAAAATTGTTAAATTATTTTTCGTTTTAATTCAAGTTTATTTCATTTCTTTAATAATTTAGTATATTTTTTGATAATTCAAAATCCTAAATTTAATAATTTACTTATTCTTTATCAATTATAGTATATGATAATTATAATGTGTTGTATGATGTAAATGTGTATAATGTGTAATTGTAAAATTTTGTAATATAGTTACAAATTTTACAAAGTATAGTGAAAGTGTATAATTTCATTAAAAATATGTATTTTTCTACATCATTATTAAGTGTCAAATATTTTGGTTCCAAAAAAATCGGAAATCCATCAATTCTCGTTTTAATACTTATTAAAAAGGAATATACCACCAATAAACAATATAACAACAATAAAACAAAATATAAAGTCTACTATTGATATGCTGCACACATTAATATGCTATTCCCGAGTTTACAACTGCAACGAACCACATGACACATGACACCGATTCCAAGTGCAGAGAATCACGCGTGCGCGCGACACAGATTCCCAGCGGGACATCACGCTCGAGTTCGTTTGAATCTTACTCAAACTCAACAGCAAGTTGTGATACGGCACACCGTTCGATTCGGGTTTCGACGGTGAGATTTCGTAAAGCCCAACGACAGACAGACGACTGAGAGGTGTCGGATCTTAAAATCATTTCGGATCTCCCGAATTTCCGCTTTGCGACGGCAAAAATGCCCGGGAGGAGTGTCGATAAATTTACTCACCTGTTTGCCGCGCAGTTCACCACGGGGGGGGGCACGGAGGGAGATCCGGAAGGAAAATCCTCAGCGCGGCGCCCACGCGTCTGCCTCCGTTTTGTCTCGTCACGATTCTTTCTGAGCACGTCCAACACACGCGACACACACACGTGCACTTGTTATCAGTATTTATCGGTACACATCCGTCGAAAACACACGCGCGAAAAATACGTTCGGTGCAACACCTGTTGCACGATCGCGGCACGAACTGCCGCGAGGCTTGCCGCTGCGATTCCCGATCGTCATTTCGTACGGCCATCTAGCGGCAACTTCACGATACTGCGTGGCGCGTCCGGAGAGCGAGAGAGAGAACTGTTCAATGTGAGAACGATGATGTATTTTGCGCGGTGTTAATATGACAATTTTAACTTTCGTCGCTAAAAGTATCTTTTCGACTCTTCTGCGATCTCATATCTTATACCGGCCGACGTTTCCGATCGTATCGTGCTCGCTTGATATTCCGTCTTTCTCTCTTTTTCTCTTTCCAGCTGAAATCCGAATCTGCGTCAATAAATTCATCGATTGCTCTAACATATCTCGCACGATTTTTCATCTCACATCTCTCTTGTATTCTTCAATTCTTTCATGATTTAACCGAATTGTTATTTTATCTGTTTTTACTACTCGATATACGCAACAGAATATTTTCTTATATATACGCAACAGAATATTTTCTTATATATACGCTGATGCTCTGATAATTTATATCGATTATATTTTTGCCGTCGCAAATATAATGAATATCGATTACCTCGACTTCACGTGCATAACTATCGTCGAAATAATGAGGTTATGGGAAACGCGTCGTTTTTTCGAGCCGTAACTTATATATCAATCTTCCCCCTTCTTCCTTTTCGATATCCGGACGTATATTTATCGCGAGATGCGTGTATCGAACGTGGAAAATCCAAGAAGACGCAGAAAACCCGGCTGTTCATGCAGTGTAATATTTCTCATACCTTCTTACGATCTCCATCTTACCTCTTTCTTTCTCTCTCTCTCTCTCGATTTGTCGTGATTTGTCGTTTCGCGGCTCATAGCAGCGTTAAACTCGGGTCGTGCAAAAAGTGCGCGAAAGTGTTCGCCTGATATTCGAAATCTCCACCGGATCTATATTTCCTATTCGGACCATGTTAAGCCTTTCAGTTGAATACAAATGAAATAAATACACAAGTACGCAAATATACAAGTAAACAAATGTACAAGTGAAACTTATCGGAAAGTAGTAGAAACCAAAAGATCATAATCGAGAGCAGACATGTGTAACAGGTGTAATGTAACTAGGTCGAACAAGACAACACGCGTGATTTCCTCTTTTCGCAAAGATACCGGACACTCGGTAAGCTCCAGAAGAATCTGAAGAGAGAAGTAGTGAAAATTAAATTGATCTCAGGGAATCTGCAAGGGAAACTGAGCAACGAGATCACCCTAACGGTCATTATCCGTGAACTTGTAGCGAAACAGACGATCACTTGCCGACCAATGACAACGCTTGTAACCGTAGGCACCGACTAGAGATATTATGACGTCAGCCCTCGGGTGAATTTTAAAAAGAATGAAATTGACTACATTATCGGCATCTTTCTTAATCAGTTAATATAATTAATTATCAGAGCATCAGCGTATATATAAGAAAATATTAGTTTTATAATTTACAATTACTTCGATGTTCTGTCGGCCCCAGTGAACACCAACTAACAATAACATTACAGCAATGTTATAATTTCTCACTCAACGATGCAACTGTTGTGTACAACACATGTTATATTGCACTTACAGGTTATCGCTTTCATACATCGAGCAATACTTTAACTTAATTTCCGCGCATATTTTCACTATGTGCGAGAGTATTTGTAATTTTCCGTAATCAATACGATGTAAACTTTACAGAAAGAAGTCAGTTTATATCCAATATGAAGTTTTCAAATACGACATCTTAAATCTCAGTAACCGCGACATCTGATAGTGCTGGGAACGATTTTTCCGAAGAAATTATGCTGCAATTTATAGTGTTCACAGGCAATAAGCTAAGGATTTACTACACTTATTGATCCGGATTTACCTCGTCGGTGTCGTAGCCATAGAATCGTGCTTCTCGGTTGGTCCGTTAGATGGCGACTGTGCAGGCCAAGCAGCCCTCACAGAGAACGATTTCTATTAATTACTTTGTCAGGGGAGAATTATCATTGCGAATTGTGCATATTGTGCAACGGTAACGACGATATTTGGATCACCGAGTCGCGAACGAACTAGTCGGCGTTCACAGGTAAAGTTCAGGAATCAATATCGATACAATCGTTCGGACAACATTGTCCGTACAAACGCGCGCGCGCGCGTGGTAGCGTCGTCGGGACGATTCGAACTATGAGTCACGACGCGCGGCGTCGCGACGCCGCGTCGTCAGTCCCGACGCGTTTGCCGTGACGTGCGCGTTTCATCCCTTGATACCTGATTCCCGCCAAAAAGTCGCGCGGTACTCCGCGGTCATGTTCTCCTGGATATAAAACTGCGCTTGCGAGGACCCGACGCGCGCTGCTCCGTTGTAAGTGCAAAGGCGAAGTTTGAGAACGTCGCGGACTCCCCACGTCGACATCGTGAATCCGTCGCAAGGGGAGGAAAGACGCGTAGATACGCGCCTACCGGGAGTAATCGACGCGTTCGCGTAGCCGACGCCGACCTCGTGAATCGTTCACACGGCGATCGCAGGACGCACGTATTTTTCGTATCGCCAAGCAGGCCGAGAAAAATCTCCCCAGCAAACATAGAACATAGCTGCTGTATAACGTGGAAATAACGCGTAGTATAACGGCTGTTATACCTTATTTATCCAGCAAACAGCAACTGGCAGTAATATAACATCAATGTAACTGTTACGTAACACGCGCATTATATTGCATTTACACTGTTGAATGAGAAATTATAATATTGATGTTACGTTACTGTTAGTTTGTGTAATTTGCTGGAATGCGGAGGAAACATAATCGAGTGTTTGTATGCATGGTAACTGCATTTAAAAACGGTTAAATTGCTTTATTATTTACAAATTATGATGCAGAGAATAACAGCTATATAACTTAAATATAACACGTGTAGCGTTTGCATTACTTCTGTTGTATAATATTTGTTGTATGAATATATCACTATATGATCATTCGTTAGATGGCATCTATTTCTCGTATATAAAATATGTGTTAACACTAAAACTGTTAAATCAGTCAAACTGACCGGTTTATAATTTTTTCTTAATTTTTTTCTCAGTCTCTCTCGCGAAATATCATTAATGACGGAAAAATCAGATGGAAATCTATATGAGATTCTATGATCGCCTTTGAAGATTGGTGTCGAAAAGCCATGTCCTAGATAACAATCTACGTGAATTTCTATATGAATTTTTATACACCATGTGGATTTCTATGTAGATCTTCATGCATGGGAATATAAGATTTTTAATATCCTATATGGATTCACATAAGTTCCGTTGGATTTCCATAAGAACCTGTCTGAAAGTTTTTAACAAGATACCCACTTTAACGCGACCTCGAATTTCTTCAAAATTCTCACGATCATTTGTCATCGTCGCGTCTCTTTTCACTGCAACATCGCGACACTTTTATAAGCCACAAATTTACTTTATGTCGAGATGTAAAAACAACGGAGTTGGTAAATTAACGGAGTGTATTGCGACGTCGCCGACAAAGCGGAGTTTCTGTTCAACGGACGAAGCCCTCGGTTTGCGATCGATTTCTCGGCGAAGAACATCGATGCTCCGGTATATTGATGTAGTGGCATTTTCACATTGAAACGCGCATTCCCGAGCGACAAACGTTACGAAATCGAACTCTTCAATCGCAAGGTCACAGTATCAACATTCAGAATCGCACTTCTCTCTTTCTCGATCAATTTTAAACGGTTGCAATCGCGATTAACGCGCGCCATGCTACGTGAATCACCGGTAACCCACGCTGAACTTTTTGTTCGGGTCGTTCGACATTTTCTCTCAAAAATGAAACGTAATTGTGAAATACTCTCGAAATTATTTACTTAGTTTATTTTATGTTACTTATATTTTATATATTCTGTTACATTTTTTATATTATTCGACTCATTTGCATCATTAGGAGATTTGAAAAATATGCCAACATCACATATTGACAAATATGTCCTCCTAAAAGAAAAGTCATAACATCGATTTTTTTTTCTTTTAGGAGGACCCTTCTCCCCTCGGTTTTTCGTTCCTTTCTTTCTGTTAGACTTTATCAAATAAAACAGATAAAATAAAACTGAAAAGAAAAAAAACTGAAAAAATAATAAACCAGATAAAGACACGTGATTTTTGCGGACGAAATAAGTAGGTATCCCCGCTTCTGCTGCAAGTGGGTTAACAAATAAAATATGTTTCATAACTCACGTCAACATGGATCACCAGTGACCACCGGCCCAACGCGCGGCGTGAATGACGAGTCACGTAAAATTGATCCGGCGCACGGAGCGTGTTGAGCTTTTTTAATTCCTTCTTTCTTTCCACATAATCTTATTCTTTCTGTTGTTTCCAACGACTTGACGAACGGATGGCGGTTATAGCGCGTTGTTATAGCCATTACACGCGACTGGGTCAAACTTTAGGCCTCACTCGGTCAAGCGGTCAGCGCGTATCTACCCTTCGCGATCGCGAATTCGCCTTTGTGCGACTTTGTATCAGCCGCATTACGTGGCGGTGAAGTAAGACAGTCGGCTTTCTCAGCACGCACGTGCGCGTAATCGCCGCTCAAAGTGGAGAAATGCGGTGGCGGCAACGTGTAGAACAATATCGCGAACAAAAGGGGTCGGAAGTTTCTCGGAGGAAGAAAGGAAATCGCTGCGGCATATTTTGCGCCCGGTCGTTCACGTTTCATTGTTTCGATTTGATCGCGCGTCTTGTCACATAAATGTACACACAGTCGACAAAGTAAGGCGACAACGCTTTTACCTCGATGAACTTCAGTCGTACACAGAGAAAAATGCTGTTGTACAGTTGGCGTCACCTATTCTATACCATCTCTTGGACGGGAAATGATCTGATTTTCAGCCTTATTCATCCAACATCTAATTGAAACATCGATCTATTGAGAATCACTGAAAAAGGATCTTTTCCTATAATAAATATTACAACCTTTCTGTGACCGACTATGTACATAAATTTCAGTTTCGCGTAAGCGACGTCGGCAGACGCCTCGCGAGATCGCCGAGAAGATTGCTCGGGATCCTAACTAGCCGATAAAATAGATAGTTTAGCAATCCGATGGATAGATAAGATGACGATAAATTCCACCGGGTATCGTATCGTGCGAGAATCAATGGCGAGAAACGGCAGCTCGCACATTTTCGGGAATTATTGTGTTAACCGCCACCACTTGCTGATCGTTATCTCGTCTTCGTCACATACAAGGTGACGCGTGAAACCGTAGTTCACCCTTCCCGTCCCGTCTCGCTACGATGCGAACATCAATGGACGTTCGAGCGGTGGATCTTACAGCACTGTTGCCGCGCGTACGCTACGATAAGAACGCGTCGGAAGGTGTGCGTTGACGAGGTAGGGATCTCAGGTTCACGGTCAGCCGGCCGAAGGTCGATTGACGTAGCAGAAACCGCTGTCTAACAAGAGAGGGTGTTTCGGAGCCGCGGCTAGAGAGGTGGCCTGCCAACTAGTAGGCATTCGACGACGATAAATGCCACGTTTTATTGATAAGACAAGTAATGTCAGTTTACGATTATTTATGTCATCTGTTATCATTCATTATTCGGCTACCGAAGACCGGTTGCCCGTTTTTATGCCGCATCCCCANTATATATATATATATATATATATATATATATATATATATAAGTAATTATAAATATTTCATCGGCAAAAAATAAATATTTTTGAAACTTGGGGATAAAACTTCGTAGAAAAATTATTTGTATCGTTTAAAGTCGCATTTTTTTGTGAATTTGTATCCAACGTTTCGTGAACGTTTCAGTTCGCTTCATCGAGATTGTTTTCTTATATTAACGCTCGTTCGGTGTTTGGAAAAAGACTTTTGAATCGAATAAAAAACGTCTCGTCGACGTTCTGTATAATCGTGACGATTTTCTCCCGTAACTTCTTGACGAGAATTCGCCGGAAAAGATGCCAAAGCGAACGGACGTATTGTGATAGAGAAAAGAAAAGCGCACGGAGTACCGATGTGCTTGATTTCACGGATACGATTGGAGCACGATAATGCAAATTTGATGGGAATCGCGGAGAAAAATCAATGAAGCGCGCTCTTATTCCTGGAAACGAGTCACTCCAAATACGTGTTTGTTCAACCGGCGACTAAAATCGGCTCTATCTCGTCATTCTCTCGCGTGCTTCTTAAATTTTTAATTACACGACTAATTACGCGGCTTTAATTGCACTTAAACGATATGCCACCCGTTATCAGTTTCTTCGTATTGTGCAAGTTACACTACATAAAGTTACATAACCAAATTACATTTATATCGTACTATTTTTAGAACCGTTGCCTCGTTACACGTGGAATTACCGCGATAATCGCAATTCAATAATTATCGTTCATCTGTCGGTCATGTTGCGTACACACACACACATACACACGCGCGCGCGCACGACGTTTACTTTCGCTTTCGTGGTGTGTGTATGCGACACTATCGAGCGATATAATAGTACAAGTTAGTAACAGTCGTATATTTTGCAGTTCATGCAGCACCTATTCTCATCGCGCTTTAAAATTTCCCTCCTCTTTCTCCTCCTCTTTATAAGATCCCCGACAGATTCGTGATACAATCACACTCACACGTTGTACACGCGCTGATATTCTGTCTCGTTTTCAGATGTCCGAGTCCGTAAAAGTAGCGGTGAGATGTCGGCCTATGTCCAACAAAGAGCTGCAGCAAGGATGCCGAGTGAGTAATAAATTAACATGATCGCCTCCACGTGTCTTTATTTCTGAACAAAAAGGCGCGATAAAAACTTTTAATAATTTACATATCAGCGATAAAGAGAATGTAGAAACTCTATACTATAGGAAAGATATTTGATATTTGTCGCTATAACGGCAAGTGATATAATTATAGTAGGCATTTTTTTGTAAGTGCTTCAATACACAGCAAACTTTATCCGAAGGACATCCTGCGAACGTCTTTAGGACGTTCTCACGTAGGAAGTTCCTTAGGGATCTTTGTGCTACATGGATCTAATGATAATGATAATAATCTTATCCAGGTAGCAGTAACGATATTTTTACTAAACAATATTTTTTTGTTCTTCTATATTCTATATAATAAACAAAACAACAACATTAACAATATTTTTTGTTATCTTAATAAAAATCACAGTAAAAATATGTACATGCTCAGGCGACTTCTGAGAAACTCTTAAAAGACACCTGAAGGACATTCGAAAAAGTCTTTTACACACCTTAAGACTTCCTGAATACGTTTTTTGGAAGTTTCTGTTACCTGAATATGTGAATATTCTTACTATAATTTTTATCAGATCAAGGACAAAATTTCGTTGACGCCGAAAGTAATTATTCGGACAACGCAATATCCAAAATCGAGACATAGCACGTCTTTTGCTGTCTGGACTTCTTATATATTTTCAGTGGGTTAAACAATTCTTCTCTTCTCAGTGTCTTGTAACGCGCAATAAAGCGAAGGTATCGGATTAATTCCCTCGCACCTGCGTGTGCACTCGACTCTCCGCAACATACATATGGACGTTGTATAAGATGGATTCATCAATTATTTTTCTTTCGCTCGGTTTATCTCCGGTCTGCGGTCTTCGGCGCGAAAAACGTCATTGTCATATCGAGCGCGTTGTAGCCTAGCGACCACATCAAAACACGCGCGCTTGTCCACGCGCGGCGGATGTTGCACTTCTCGTTGCACTTTTTGCGTCGGCGGCGTGTCTCTTCGCGCTTTCCACGTGTCGGTCTTCAATCTAGATCCAATTAAACTCAGAGTGCCTTACTGGAAGTCGCACGACTCCATCTCCTTTTTTCTCTTAGGATCCGTTAAGTTAAAAAACGAGTCAAAAACAAAAATTCTGCGAAACAAGCTCCATGCATCGCTGTTAATTATATCTCCAATTATACCGCTCGTGAGAAGTGTCGTTCGATTCCGAGTCGAAATTTGGATGCTACTTTGATACTTTTAAGGATGCTTTGCGGCTACTTAAGTGACTTATAAACTAATGAAAGCCTACTTGGCCGATATTGACACTTAACTTCTCTCTCGAGCTAATAATTCTACAGATTTAATATTACCTCGGACAACCTATTTTGGCGCTAAAACAGCGAAAACTTAAGACATTATCAGGATCAAAGTAGGGATAAATTATATCGTCGGAATGTAAATTGGAACCTATTAAATAGAGGGACTTATTTCGCTATTTTATCTCCTACCGCGTTGTAGAATTCGAGAATTTAATACAGAGCCAAAAATGCCAACTAGAGATAATATTCACCATTCGGCTGCAAAAACTGCTGGATATCTCTTCAAAAGTTGAAGGATCCACGCGAAGAGCCGCTCGCGTGAGCCGTCGTGCCATTAAAAACGGGGGAAAAGTATAGGAGTAATAGGCATGTGCAAACACACATTTGCACACAAGCAGTCAAGCGTGGGCGGGCGGGTGGACGATAACGTGTACGTGCAGCACGTGTGTCGTCATTTACAGGAAAGATGGTAAAGAGTGACTTGGCCGGTATCGATTTGGCACATATTCGCCGCGCCATCGATAAACGCGCGTAAATGTTGTAGGCGACGCGCCGAGCACTTTCATCTATGTTACGTGCATCGGCGCGCCCGCAACGAGAGCGTACTTTCGCGATTCTTCGCCGTTCATCCGCTTGAAATTTCCAATTTCGTTTTTCCCGCGTCGAGAAAGCGAAACCACTCCCGACGCGACGTCCGTTGGTTCTTCTTGCATTTTCTTGTAGTCATCGTTTCACGTTAACGTCTTCTTTTCTAATCGCCCGGACAGCGAGATAATATTTCAACGATACCATAATGCGTGTGTTTCATTGAATTCTCATCGAACTCGCTTCGTTCTACGACCTTTCGAATTTCGAACGTACTCTTTGAAGCAAAGGCAGTCGAGACTCGTCCAGGCGACGTCGCAGGTACCGCCGCGAACGTAAAAAGGTAGACAGTGGTTAGCCGTGCGACGGTGTCCTCGCGGATCGTTAAATAGTTTATGCCTCGCCATGTACGTAATGTCAATCCGATGCATCGCCGCGATCCACCTACGACGTTTGCCTACGACGAGGTTGCCATCGACGAGGCGATGCGGCGCAGCCCGACGAGAAGAAAGGCAGTGTGTCAATGCGCGCCCAGGTCGGATATCTAACGCTCTTATCAGCGGCCGAGAATGCTATATCGTGTTCCACATTTAGCGCTAAACACGCCGACCGTACTCGTCCGATCGGCGTTCGTTTAACGGTGGATCAATGCTGTCCCACGCCACGAGAATTGCACGAGCGCATTTAACGCGCTAAATGCACCACGCGAATCGAGATTCGACGGGGGGTCGATGGAACTGCGATCCGCGACTGCACTTTTTCCCCGATGAACGTTTCAACGAGCGCCGTCGCGCCTTCTCAACCGTCGCTGTCTTAATTTTTAGATTCCACTCAGCGGAATTTATCTCAAATGACTCATCCTCGTTGTCGCTGATGATTCAAGTTAGGTTGTTGAAATAATTTCTCGTAGAAATTGAATGTATTCTTTCTTTCTCTCGCTTTTAACAACTTTGTTATAAAATTATCATTTAAATTTAAACTTTATCGCGTTCCAATTTTTCATTCAATTTAATTTAAATTATTTCAATTTCTATTTCCAGTGTTATCTCAACGACTGATTTCGAGTATATGCCAATAACAATAGCGATGAACTGTTAAATTTAAAACGATTAATTCTGAAAATTTAACACAACTGTTAAATTACTTCAATTTCTCTGTTAAATTTTAATTGAAGTCATTTAATATGATAATATTGAGAGAGAAAGGAGCGCAATTACGTGTTAAAGTGAAATCTAACGAAGGTGGGGAGAAAGGAATACGTAGTAAAAGATTCCGATATGAAAATAAGGATGATTTGAAACTAGGTCAGATTAAATGTTTAAATTGTTCATTCCTTTACAACCGTGGGACAGTCCATATGCGAGGAGTCAAGTCAAAGACGCTTCTCTCTCTCTCTCTCTCTCTCTCTCTCTCTTTAGCTATAAGCTATTTAGATGCAATTAGATGCACATAACAACTTCGACTTCCGTGCACGAGAGTGACTGTTTAACGAACCCTTTATCGCAATTTTGTAATCATATAATTGATCATAAGCCGGGATATAATTTCGTCCCGTTTGAGTTTCGTAGGCGGACTGCATTATGCATTCCCACACGGCTGAATTTTATATTCGTGGAACTCGTCTTTCCGCGGAACTCGTCTCATTAGTGAGTCACCCACGTAGTTTCCAATATCCTTCCGTTTTCGAGCACATTTTTTACCGCATGAAGTACAACAATTTTCGCATCGATCTTACACCGTGATAAGATTATCGTATTCAGGTCATTCTTGGAGCGCGAAGATGAGAAGTATTGATTACACCGTTCGCCATCGCGATTTTAATCGTCTATTCGCATTTGTTTTTCCCGTGTCTGTTGCATTTGCCGTGAAACTTCAACGGCAGTCGCATATTCCGATTCGACGAGTCGAAAGTGTCGAAATGTGAGAACCGGTTCTCTAATTACAATTATTCCATGAAAGTAGCAATTCTAATGTACAATCACATGCACATATGTTTATGAGCAAATTTAATTTCTATAAACATCAGAAATTTCAATCTCTGATGTCAATTATAGTTATAAAGACAAATTGGATTCCTTCTTTAACTGACACAATACGCGAGCAAATTAGCGTTAAAATGAAAATATCGAAAACGTGCAAGTCACGTCTTTAATTAAAATTCCATAAAAGAAATAAAAATTCTAACTACAACAAATCATTTTGCCGATCATAATTCATGTTGTTATAAAAAAATCTACTATAGTAGTTATAAAAATAGGATTTATCTCTCCATTTTATATAACTAACAATATAATTAGTGCTAATAGAATGGATAAAAATAACAAAAATGTAAGAGCCATATTTCTAATTAAAATTCTTTCAAAGAATTCCAACGAATAATCGTTTTCACGATCGCAATTCACTTTCATGTCAGACAATGATAGTGATAAAAATAGAAATGCTCTCTACAGCTTATAGAATTAACTTTAATGCGACAGATAAAAATATTGATTGCACTGTTCTCCATCTATTCCCGTCACCTGTACGCGCTTATTTTTTTTTTTCTTACCCACTCCGTGCGTCATATTTGTCGCAGAATGTAGTGACGATCGATCCACTGACGAAATCCTGCACATTGGAAAGTTCCGCCGCCGCCGGAAGCGGGAAGGTATACCAATTCGACGCCGCCTTTGGCACGTCCGCTACCACAGAATCGGTGTACGAAAACGTCGGCTCGGTGATCGTCGAGGCTGTTTTGGAGGGTTACAATGGCACCGTGTTCGCTTACGGGCAGACCGGCTGTGGGAAATCGTTCACGATGCGGAGCTTCATCGAACGGGCGCTGGAGCATCTGTTCGAGGCAACTTCGACCGCCAGTTCCGAAACGAGGTATCACGTTCTCATCTTCTTGTATTAGTAAAATGCGCAGCAACTGACGCTATTTTAATCGTATAAAATAATAGAAAATGATTATTAGAGATTATAGAATTTATAGAATCATGATGGAAATTTTAGTATTAGAATTTACTTTTGGAAAATTTAGTTTTGATAATTTTATATAAAGAAAATTACTAGAAAGAGAACAGAAATATGAGAGTAGGAAAATAGAAAAGTAGAGAATTCACAGAGAACTATCCTGAAACTGGAATTTATTTGCAATTGCTGTAAAATTGCTGTATCAAATATATCAAACATATTATTATTAACATATCGTCATTGAAATCATAAGAATTTAATGCATCTGTGCACAATGTACAGAGAAAAACAGTTATATATTTTAATAACATAAAAAGACATTAAAATCAGTATTGGAAACTTCCCGAGGTAATATCAAGCAATTCGTAGCTGAATTGCAAATCATTTGCACCGGTGTTCTTAATTAAGAAAATTCAAGTCAGCGTCATAAACATACTTTGAGAGTAGAGCTCGCAATAAACTTCCCGATTTCTATTTTCAGGTACTTAGCATTGCTGAGCTACCTCGAGATCTACAACGAGCGGCTGCGCGACCTGCTGCAAGACGACACCGGTGAGAGTCTGACACTGAAGGAAGATCCGACGCGAGGCACCTACGTTGCAGGTGGCCTACGCGAGGTCACGGTGAAGGATGCCGCCGAGTGCACCGCGCTGGTGCATCAAGGTGACCAGAGGAGAGCCGCGGCCGCAACGAAGATGAACGCGGCGAGCTCGCGTAGTCACGCGGTGCTGACGTTGTCGCTGGAGGCTATCGCTATCAACGACGACGACAGGCACGGCAACGCCATCAAAAGGGGTCGGCTGCACTTGGTCGACCTCGCCGGTTCGGAAAGACAGGCCAGAACCGGTGCAACCGGCGATCGGTTGAAGGAAGCAGCCAGCATCAATCTCAGCTTGTCCGCGTTAGGAAATGTCATTAGCGCCTTGGCTGCCGGCAACGGACGCCATGTCCCATACAGGTACGAATATCCTTCCGTCTGCTGATAATTAAAATTGTAATTTTTATTGTGAAAAATGAGAATTCCAAATATGAAGTTGGCCCCCTATCTGTAAAGTTTCTCGCGGCATCCTGCTTAACTTTGATCGTTTTCGATTTTTTAACGATTTTTAACGTTAGGTAGCCCACTGTGAACGTTTAATAGTCGAAATTCTAGTTGTTATTAAAAAGAAAAATTGCAAAAGATGATAGATTATTATTTAGTTATAAAATTAGCAAAGAAAGCGCGTCATTACAGAATTTCCATTAGAATCCTTAGAAAAGTAGATAAATTTATTAAAAGATTTTTGTGTAAGATGTAATCAATTGTGCAAGTAATGATTTTTATTCTTCAGGGATAGCAAGCTGACGAGGCTGCTGCGCGACAGTCTGGGCGGCAACGCGCGAACTCTGATGATCGCGTGCGTGAGCCCGAGCGACGTCGACGCTGAAGAGACTCTGAGCACCCTGCGCTACGCGGCCCGTGCGCGTTGCATCAAAAACAAGCCGGTGGTGAATGAGGACCCGAAGGATGCGCTGTTGCGGCAATACCAGTTGGAACTTCAGCGTCTGCGAGAGATGCTGAACTCGAGCGACCAATCGATCGTGGGACAGGACTTCCAACGGGAAGCGGATGAGGAGGCGGACAGTTTGAGGGAGAAGCAATACCTCGAAGAGGTGGAGAGGCTGAGGAAAGAGTGCGAGAACTCGAACCTGTCGGCGCAGAAGCTGAAGGAAGAGCTGGAGGCTCTGAAGTCTCGCCACGAATGGGAATTAAACGATGCCGGTGAGATCGTTGGCGCCAAGGAGAGCGAGGTCCTGAACGAGTTGGGCCAGGAACGAGCGGAGAAGCGCAGGAAGAAGAGGGAGGCGGCGATGCAAGATGTTCTGAAGAAGCTGGAGAAGCTGACGATCGGCGGCGAGGCGGTCGGCAATACGGAGGTGAAGAAACGCAGGGAGAAGAGGAGAAAGAGGCTGGAGGCTCTCGTAGGAGCGCTCGAGGCTAACGACGCCAACAGTAGTGTCTTCCAGGTCTACGGCCAACTGAGGTTCGTGCTCTGTATAATCTGATTTTCGAAAGTAACATCTTGCGAAACACGTCTGACGAAATACACTTGCGAGCAGGTCTACAGAGGACGCGCTGAAAAGGATGGCGAAGAGGGTGAAACAGCTGGAGTCGGAAGCGGTGGATCTTCAGGCGTCGTGGGACGCCGAACGTCGCGACCTGCTGCGCAGGGAACTGCTCACGTCGCAGCTGTGTGACCTGATGGTGCCCCAGCTCCGTCCGGGTTGTCCGTTCCGCGATATCGCCGCAGTGAGAGCGGCGGCGACGTGGTGCGACGAACTCGGCCGATGGCGCTTGCCGGATGTATCGCCGCACATCCCCCTGCCGCCGGCCCCCGTGTCGTCGCAGAGGGACACTCTTCATCCAGGCGGGATCACACCGACCAAGGCGGACCTGAACAACAACAGTAACAACGGCAACAGCAGCAATGACGACGAGATTGCCGAGGAAAACGACGAGGACGGCGGTAAGAGCGGCGGCAGGAAGAAGTTCGACATCGCGGACATCTACTTCCGCAGGAAGAGGGTGGATACACTTCTGGCGCATGCCAGAGAGGTGAAGAATAAGAATTTCGGTGAGTCCGAGTTCCCGGGATATCCCGCGATCTTCGTCGATGCATTTCACATTTCGAGATGTTAAACTTTCCGCGATTTAATACACGTCGAAATTCGCTGCACAATTCCAGGGTCGGGGAAGAACGCGTTGCTCGTAACATCTTTACTGTTACGAATTATTTTTCTTATCTACGATTTGGTAACTTGGTTATTTCTCTCTCTTTTTCCTCTATCTTTTTTATTTTTTTTTTTTTTATAACTATAAGAAGTTATTTTTCAAAGTTAATAGTTAACAGTGAACGGTAACGAATTATGTTTAAATTACTAATAGCTGTGCCAACACTTCGGAATCCTACCTGTAATCTTACATATTATAAAACAGGATAAAACGGAAAATGTTTAATGATTTGCAGATATGTATGCGCGAACTCGGGCCGGTTGCACGTGTGCTCTCTCATGTGTGCCTTTGCAGCGGCAACCTGGCATACTGCTCAATATATTGATGCAACACCCTGTATATACTACAGGGTGAAGTATACATGATGTACATATTACAGAATTGAAGTATTGCTCAATACATGGCGGGAATAAATTTCAAAATTGACATGTTTCACTGCCAGCGTAAATATTCGTCCGATACAGAGATTTTGCATTTTATACATACATATCGAATGTATCGATGCTCCAATCGGGAATATATCAAAGAACATTTTCATACTTTCTCAAGTCAATTTGAAGGTCTCAGAAAGATACGAAAGTTTGTGGAAAAATTTTTTTATATATATTATAGTTAGATTTTCCATTAAATATATATTAGACATGATGAAACAGGGTAGTACACATTCATCGCATTCACATTCATATCGCAATTCTATTTGTGCGAGATGTACGTAGGTAGCTATTTATATTTCCGGCCTTGGTAGCAGTAAGTGTTGCCAGGCGCCATCTGACGTTGTCATGTTGGAAACTTGACATTGTTGAACGTAAGAACATAAGAACACATTGTCATTTGAGCGCGGTTGTGTTGTTTACGGTTGTGTTGTTTACAGTGAATGGAAAAATTCATGTCGGGCAAAAAATGGAATTAACTCGTGAACATTTTCGTGCGATTATTTTTCATAACTTTCGACGTGGATTATCAAGACAAGAGTGCATCGATGAACTTAATTCTTTATACAGCGAGAAATCATACCATCCTACAGCACTGTAAAAAACTGGTGTAACGAATTCAATCGTGGCCGACGTTCGCTCCAGGACGTGAAGGTCGTCCAAAATCGGTTGTTGTGCCAGAAAATATCGATGCTGTGCGTGAACTGATAAAGCAAATCGTCATGTGACATACCATGAGATTGAGACATCTTTGGGCATTAGTATGACAAGCATCAATAAGATATTGCATGAACATTTGTCCGTAAAAAAAATTTGTTCGCGTTGGATCCCGCATAATCTTACAAACGCTCAAAAGGAGACTCGTATTGATTGGTGCAAGGAAATGTTGAAAAAATACGTTCAAGGTGCATCAAAGGCTGTGTATAACATCCACACAGGTGACGAATCATGGACCTATGCATATAAGCCCGAAACAAAACAGCAATCGACTGTATGGGTCTTCCAAGACGAGTCAAATCCAACAAAAGTTGTTTGTGGAAGAAGCACATCGAAGCAAATGTTTGTCTGTTTCTTCGGCATTACCGATCACGTGGCGACAGTGGCGTTAGAGCACCGTAGGACGGTCAATTCTGAATGGTACACGACCATTTGTTCGCCAGAAGTCATCGGAGAAATTCGAGAAAAGCAGAAGAAGAGGCGAATCATTCTTCATCGTGACAATGCGAGCTCTCACACATCGGGTCAAACAAAGGAATTTTTGACCGGCCAAAACATCGAATTGATGGGTCATCCGTCGTACAGCCCTGATTTGGCACCCAATGACTTTTCTTTGTTCCTGCACATCAAAAATAAATTACGTGGTCAACGATTTTCGACACCCGAAGAAGCGGTTGATGCATTCAAAACGCATGTTTTGCAGTTACCTAAATCGGAGTGGAAAAAGTGCTTCGAAAATTGGTTCAAACGCATGCAAAAGTGTATTGATCATCATGGAGAATATTTTGAAAAACAATAAAACCAATTTCGATCATAAATATTTGTTTTTTCATTATTAGGCCAGAAATATAAGTAGCAACCCTCGTATAATCAGTGAGACGACGGTTGCAACACTTTTGCCTACAAGCTTTCCAGAATATATTACGCGTCAAATGAGGAAATTAATGTTTGAAATCATTCTCAAGAGATACATTTTTTTATCGGATACGTTATGTTCATCGAAACAAACGGTTTTACGACTGTTTTATGACTGAGGTATGCGAAATACAAGAAAATTAGCGCTAATGCGTCAGAGTTTACGTAACATAACATATTAAGAATCGCTTCTCGACATTCATCATCAACATTCTCTTAACAGCTAAACCGGCAAAAGCATTCGGACACGTATACTCTTACCTTAATTACCCCGGAACTTTTACTTAATTCGACATAACGGGGCTTTCTTACATTGGCAGTATCACGTCCGAATGTTTTACCCGTTGATTATGCGCTGTCCGAGAAAGCAGTCATGGGCAATTAACTTCGCAGTAACTGAGTTAGCAGAGACGCACAGAAACCAGATCTCACGGTAAACGGTTCTTTCTAGTCAACTTGTCCAAGGTTGAACGCTAAAAGCGGTCAGCGTCCGAACTTCCGCGTTATGCCCGAGTGACCTTTTGAAAGAACCTCGCGAACCTTGCGCAATCTCCCGTTAATGCGACGATATTGTATTATCAGAACTAGGTAGCCGGCTGAGCAGGTCCGGCGGTTCGGAGGACGCGGCGCCCATTGCAGGCGGCTACTTGCAACTAAATGCTTTGAACCTGCAAAGCAGCGCGCCAGTGCTCGGCGAGATCAGCAGCGGTAGTTACAGCCCGAACCAACGACGGTCCGCCATACGGGGTGGCTGGGTCGACGAGCAGCTGCCCAACCGGACCTACAACTCCTTCGTCGGCACCGTGAAGAAGCCTCCGCCTCGCATCCTGGAGGCCTTGCCCTCGTATCCGCAAGGCAACGCGCCCTTCAAGTCCTCCGTTGGAGAAACAACCTTGAAGGGGTATGTCTGCCTAAATCTTTATTGGCAGAAACCCCACTAGGAACTGAATCTCATGGTTGTCCAGCCGCGATGTAATAAATTTATGCCTAACATCGTTGCTATCCGGTAAAGAAGAAATCATTAACACAATGCTATCACAATGATATTTTATAATATATAACGTTTTTAAATATGTAGTTCTTAATCTTGCATACAACGTCATTGTTAACAATATTTCGGTCGAAACGTTAAAAATAATGTTTCTACATTATGATTTTAATATTTAAGAATATAATGTAATCAGGTGACGATTCAAAAACATTGATAAAATATTATGTGAAAATGTTTATGAAATCCACATAAAATCAATGTTTCACAAGATTGATTTAACGTTTCTTGCTTGCTGGGCAGTTAGTAATGTAATGCTCACTTCTAATAACTGGAATAAATTAGTTGACGGTTAAAAAAACAAATTGCAGTTACGAGATGGAAAATCATAATTAATTTGTATAAATGTTAAATATGATCATTTGTTTTTTTTTTTTATTTTTATGGAATAACGTAACCTCAGTTTTGATTTGTCACCTCATTTTTAAATGCCAGTAACGGACAGAGATATTGTAATCGTGTGAATTGGAAAATTGGTTATAAATCTAACTTAACTTAGATTCTTTTATAAGCTTTAAGTAAGTTTATCTAATTTGTATATTCTGAATACTCTCAACAGAATATCTGAGCGAGGACTGCCGTCGAGATTAATACACGACAACGACGACTATAGTAACCGTCATCATCCGTTCCATATCGGGCATCCTATTTCGCCGACTTACTGACGAGTAAGCCGGTAACTTCGTCGAAGATCCGAGACCCTGGCTGTGTTGAAGAGACCAACAGAGAAGCTGTGTACGAGGTATATAATATGCGAACAAATAAATATGTACTGTATAAATTTTAAGGAGAGGGCATGAAGTTTTTGGGAAAAAAAATCGAAAACGTCAAGATATATTTTAAATGTTTAAGATCAATTCTACGAGAGTTACAATTTCGTTATCATTATTTCCTTCCATATTCAAAATATAATTAAAATTCGCGCACGACACGGATCTCGAAGAATACATTTTTTCTTAAACGTCGGCATAAATTTCAGTTTTTACAAAAGGTACGACATTTCATAAGTGATACATGTGCGAGCTGAAAAACAACTGCGAACGACATCTGTCAGAATTTCACTACGAAATTATGTATAGACTCAATACCTTCCAAAGATTTACTAAATAAAGCCTCTACTTGTTTGCGTAACAGTCCATCCGTACGTTCGCCTCTTGAACTTCGGATTGTTTTTATGTAGCTTCTTATCCTCTATCTCTAGTTCTTATGTAGCTCTTCTAATGAGTGATTTCTATACAGTGTGGAGAAGCAGGAGTCAAGGCGCCGATGTCTGTAGCAAAAACTGTCGTTTCAACGTCAAGTGAAAAATTGAAAAGTGCAAATTACGAGACGTCATGTTCTCGCTCTGAATATATATATATATATCATGATCTCCTTTTTAACTGTAGAACTCGACGATGCGCGTGAATATTCCGAGAAACATTGCTTCTCGTTTTCGTTTTACATTCTCGTATCCTGGAATGGACATCTTTTGACGCTTAAAAGATTTCTCGAATCGAGAAATATAATTTTTACGAGCGCTAGCTAGTCGAGTTTCTGTTCGATAGCAATATTTTTATATCGCCGAAATGACGCGCGTACAAATTTTACGAGGTGGCCTTTTTTCACGTACCTGATCTGATCTGCCTCACTTAACGGGCCTAAAAGTGAGAGTTCGGAAAGGAAACTGCGGAACAATTTCAAGCGAGTATACGGAACGTGCGCGTACTGAGTGGCGTATGATGAAGCAATCGTGTCTCAATATGTTACATTCGCCGCTTGAAATAACGTATTTTAATAGTATGAAAAGTATGAAAAGAAAGAGAGAATCAAATGTTTAAATTAATATTTTTACTGTTACAAATTAACACTTTACTGTCGGATGACGTAGTACCACGTCTTCTCAAAAGCAAAAGCTGAGAGCGGTTGATGTAGTAGTACATGTTTCTTAAATAAAAACTAGAATAATAAAAAAAACAAGGGAAATCAATTTTTCTATATATAAAGCTTGACAAGTAAAAATTAAGTAATACTTTCTAAATATTTTTACAGCACCTGAAGTTGTATATTTGTTAATTTTTGTCAAACATGCTTAGGATATGATGAAACTTGTCACTATATTGTTATATCTTACTATCTGACGTGTGGGCTATCAGGTTCGCAAAGATTGATTGAAACCCACGTGTAATTCAAAGAAAATAAACTTTATTTTACTAAATTATATAAATTTGTTGTATCAATTTTTCTATTCTAAGATTTTATTTCTTTATGAGTTGTATTTCAGTTTATGTAACAAACATTTTAATATATAGATAAGAATTTTTTTTAATTAAATGTATCGTATCGTTTATTATTTTTTGATTTAGAAACAGACGTAATAATATTTCATAATCTTTTTCCCAAAGAAGGTCCCCGCTCTCAATGTTATACATGTTACAAATATATCTCGCCCTGAGCGTGTAACCTTAAGTTAAACTTTTCCGCCAGCAAAGTGTTAAGAACCGAATTAAGATAATATTGATAATAATATTGAAACAAGTTATCAAAAATCATGCAGTATTTTTATCGTTATTTTTTTTTTCTACAAGATAAAAATTATCATGCTTCACTTATCTCTGGGGAAAAAATCATAACTTTTTATTTATTAATCTTATTTATTTTTCTAATAAACTTCTTATTTATTTTTCAACGTTAAACTCTTTTATATCCTTAATCCTAAATTCAAGATTAAATTTTTATATATCCTTAATTTATTTATTTGTCTTCTATATTCTATATACCTACTTTCATCAAAAAACATTAATATACATTAAATATTCAAAATATATTCTATTTATCACACTTATTTATTTATTTATTTATACCTTTAACATACAAAATTCTTTAATACAATGAATGTTTGAGATAAGTATAACCAAGGAATGATATTGTAAATTATAAATTATGAACATTGCTTATATTGATCTCTTCCAATTCTTGTCACATTACTTAATGGCTGAAGATAAATTAGAGATTTGCTTCTTCGCGCGCGCTACCCGGTATAGCGTATGCTCTATTCTGCCGAGTAGAGCGTCCGAAATTTATCGTGCGCCGGTCGGATCGTAAAAACTAGATATCGAGGGAAACTACGGGAAGGAAAGCTGTTAAACGTTAACAGCTCGGCGATTCCACGAATTGTTCGCATCGGCCGACTCGATTCGCTGAATACCGCTGTTGATATATCACGTAGTTACGATCCGGCCCATTGTAAGATGCGAGGCGCCATTGTGTCGGTTTGTCTTTCCCGATTTCTCCGGTCGAACATTTTTTATCCTTATCGAGAGGTAGCCTGAAGGACCAAAATCGACACGAGCGTTATTCTTAAGCCGCTATGTGTACAAAGATCATGTAAATATATAAATATATATATATATATATATGTATATCTGTTGTAAATATATATCTCTATACGTATTATGTAAGATACATCGTGTTTACCAATCTTTTGCCATTAAGCATATCCGCTATCGAGCTGCGAATCGAGCACATTATTTCAATCGAAGTCATTATAATGACTATCGATTTATAAATACGCGGAATTATCTTCCTTTATATCGGCATAATATATATGTAATATATAGCCTTTAGCATTTTGCTAACGTAAATAACCAGTAACAAGAAGATGAAGAAAACGTAATAGCCTTAACACGTGGCACAATGAGTACGTTAATGTTCTCTAATCCTACATTTAATCACGGATATCTTACTTTCCAACAGATCGATAGTCGATAAAAATTCTCTAACAGCCATATTTATCTCTAACTATACGTTTGTCACGGCTGTTGATTAATTGAGAGAAAGGGAATATGTTCGAAGTGACATTTTGGTAGACATTTCGTACGCAGTAAAGGAGACATTTATCACTTGTAACGTGCAATTGACAGATGAAAGGCACGAATATTAAGGTTAGATATTAATATATAAAATTATTATAAATAATTCATTAACATTTCTGCTGATTGCGTACTGCACGTGGACGGATAACATTCTTCATACTACGCTTGCAAAACGCGAAGACGTGGAAATGACACTTCTGTTTTAACCCTTAGCTGACACACGTCAAAATAATAACATACGTGCTATAGGGGGTATTTTGGATCCCAGCGAGAAAAAATGTGTATAATTGTTTTATTTATCAATATTGGGTCAAGCCTCGACTAATACTAGGTGACGCCACAGAACCAAATTTGGCGCGCAGCTATGAAAAATTTGCGTTCAAAAACACTCTGGGGTACTTTTAACCCCGTGTGTCAGCTAAGGGTTAAATATGTCCCTGCTGCTCGATTAATCAACAGTCATGAGAAACATGTAACTAAAAGCAATGTTAAATTATTAATTTAATATGTCGTTCATGCTTCTTTCAATAATTAATAAATCTACTTTTTCTGTTCAGAGTGAAACAAATGTATAACTGAGCGTTGGAGGAAAAAAGGTTCTGGTGCAGCTAACAAGAACAGACCTGATAAATAATAAATTAACGCGCGTTGATTGTACACGCTGATTTCCATTAATTACTGTCTCTGTTTTACAAGAAAGTATACGGTAACATGTCGGGAATGCACAACCTAAAAAAGAGGACTGTAGTATGTTAAAGTAGATACAAAAAGATATTGCACAATTACTTAATAATGGGTCCGGTCGCCTCCGTTGTAAATTATAGCTTGACAATTGCGTAAGAGTAAAGATAGATTTCCCTCTTGGTTTGTGCTTTATATGAGACCATACATTCCCAATTGGATCTCTGTTGAGAAAAAGCCGGATGAGAATCTATATATGAAATCCATAAAAATCCCATAGTTGCTCTTGGAGTATGTAAATTAACGAGACGCGTCTACTGATATAACATTATGACGCCTTTCGCACAACAGTGATACAACATATTATCGATACGATGGAAAATTCCTAATAACCTGCAATAAAATACGTTGAGATCATTATACGGTTTCCATGCGCAAATACACGCGCTCGTCATTGTCGCGGACGTCCCAGACCGCTAATAGAGTCTCTCGGATTAACTAGTTCTCGGTAATGACTTGTTGTGCCGATAAATACTACATCGCGCGGAAAAACGGTCCGAAGCGTCCCGGCGATTTTTGCCAACACTTGCGTCACTTACGCGCGCGATAATTACTGCCGCGTAACGATCATCCGAACGAAGATCCACGCTCCACTCGGCGCACTTTCGCGAGTAAGGAAAACCGAACGATGACCGTGCACGTGAACGGCGCTCCCGCGAACGGAGAACCGATTTCTTTCTTTTCGGCGGAAGTCGAAAGAAAGAGGTGAGGAGGGACGCGCCACCGGGTGATTTACGTAACGGAATACGGTATGTACAGTCGGCGTTATGTATGCTGTACCATTCCCTAGATCGAAAATCATACAATTTTCAGCCTTACACATGTGTAGGTCAAAAAACGATTAATATACAGTGAGAATGTCCAAAATAAATGTTCTGTTTATTCTCAGACATTTATTGATTTATTTATTTCCACGAGAAAATCACTTAACATACAATGAGTGGCCAAGATAAATGTAGAGTGACTAAGAAGTGGTACTGTCAATTATAAACTATAAACTACATATATTTATTATATCGATCTCTTCCAATCTCTTTCGTATTAATCAGAAGGCCGAAGGCAAATATATATATGGTAATAATTAGAGCCATTACAACTCTATCGTTATAATTAGAATCACTCATACGATTTTCAACCATATTACTTGTGCACAAGGCTGAAAATCGTGTACTTTTTCGTCTAGGGAATGGTACAACATTGTCAAGTGTGAATCGACATAAAAAATGCATATGAAATCTCATAGTTGCTCCTGGAGATTTGGGTCGGAAATCCAGGTTCCAAAAATTTGTTCGACCGAGTGACGCACATATAGAGGAATTTATTAGACTACTTGAAGTACATTAATTAAGTAACCGACCTTGTAGCGTCGTGTCGACTTTGTATCCTGATTGTCTTCTAAGAGTTCCGCATTCGAAATTTTCAAAGGCACGGCGCAAATATAAATCTGAGTGAGCGGAATGTTACGTGGCGTGGACGTCTTACGTTCCTCTTCTCGCTATTCTTCCGTTGTCGCATTTATTTTGTATCTAGTTCTCTTTTTATTTCTCTCTAACATCATTGGGAATTTCTATTGTAACATTCGTAGGAAATCTGGAGGAAACCGATTACAAATGTAAGGTGTTATTGTGAAATTGTGAATAATAATTCAGTGGAAAACATGAAAAAAGCAATATGGACAACTTTGTATATAACAATCCATGTGAATTCCTGTATGAATTTGGAATTTCCTACATGAATTTCGAATTTCCTATATAGATTTCGATGAATTCTCATACCGTCCTAAAAGAACCTTACCTGGAAATTTTCAACAGGGATGACGCCGAGCGCAGAGAAATCGATGGTGCGCGATCGATCTCGCGCTTGTATCGCGGCTACTCTCATTTTTTCTCGTTTCTTTTCTCGTTATCAAGAAGATTACGGTCTCTCGACCATATGATAATAATATTTTGTAATTTGAACGCGACACGTGCAAAGCATTCGGAGAATCGCAATTACACTAGCTAATGCACACAGCTAATGGCGGAATGGCTGCAACGCCTTTTCTTTTTTCTTTCTCCTTTTTTTTCAACAACTTTCGCAACGCATCCGTGTCCAATGGAAGAGTTGGTTTTTCAATAATTCCCACAGGATATACCTTCCTAGACAGCATAGATGTCCAAAATCGGAACGTGAGACATCTTTTAGACGTCTTGAAGTCGTGTTTAAGATGTCGTGATATAAGACGTCTTTAAGATGTTTTTAAGACGTCTAAAAAACGTCTTGTGTCTCGATTTTGGACATTGTGCCGTCTAGGTTCCTATTGGATACCGAGCGTATAATAAAGTTTATCGACAGTGTGTACTATAAAGAAAGATTCGTCAAAACAACTTGAATTGAATAGAACTCTTAATCTGA